TTTTTCTAATGCTTTGAAAAGCCTCTCTGCCGATCAGGCAACTCAGCTGGGATCGTCAGAGACTTTTCAAAGCATTTTTTTTTACCACCTCTTCAGCCAAGAGATTGCAGGAAAAAAATGCTTTGAAAAGCCTCTGATGATCCCAGCTGAGCTGCGCGATCATCAGAGGCTTTTTTTTTACTTTTAAGAGCATTTTTTCGTCGGAAGAGGTTGTAGAAAAAATGCTTTTAAAAGTAAAAAAAAAAAAAAGCCTCTGATGATCGTGCAACTCAGTTGAGCATGGGGGGGGAGGCGGCACAGGGATTTTTGCTACGAACCACCCACCACCATCGCTACCGGATCTGGCGATCCGGTCCGAACCGGCAGCATTTCACCCCTGGCTTGGGCCGTCTGTCATCCCTCAAATGGAGAGTCAACAGCCCCCAGGTCTGGAGGTGGCTGATGAGGAAGAGGAGGAACAGCTGGGTCCAGTGCCTGACGTGTGGAAGTGCAGAAGGCAGAGGAAAGGAGAGCAGGGGAAATCTATGGGCCGGTCCTTGGGATGGAAGAGCCACCGCTGCTAGTGAAGCCCCACCCTAGGATAAAAGGCAGGGGGCAGAGATGAATAGATGTGGCAGACAACTATTCAACCTCTGGCCAGCCAGACTAGTTAGCCTGCGGTGAGAGAGAAACTTTTTGCCGGGGCTGCTGGCGCTCCTAATAAAGGAATCATCGATTTAACTTCAGAGGGTTTGTCGTGTTCGGGGAACTCGCTCAGAACAGGATGCTAAAACGGTCATAAGTGTGAAAAACGGTCCTAGGTCACCTTGGTTAGTGCTGTTGTAACTTCAAACGGTCCCTAAATGAACTGTCGTAAGTCGAGGACTGCCTATAACACAGAAATGGCACAGAAATGGGAAGATTCGACAACACACGACCCTCAATGGCTGTGGAGGTTGACAGATTTTGCCAAAATGGCTCAAATAACTTCTCTGATGAGAGAAAAAGGCTGACTATTGGGGGCGAGTCATTGGCCCCCACCGAGAGGGCTCACAACTTAGGTGTCCTCCTGGACACGCGGCTGTCTTTAGAAGAGCATATGACAGCCGTGACCAGGGGAGCTTTCTATCAGGTTCGCCTGATTCGCCAGTTGAGTCCCTTTCTAGATCAGGACTCCTTACGCACAGTCACTCATGCCCTCGTCACTTCCCATCTGGACTACTGTAATGCTCTCTACATGGGGCTCCCCCTTTTTTTTTTTTTAATTTTTTATTGAAAATTATTAAAAAATACAGAAAAAAATATAATAATATGGATAGAATTGCAGAGAGTAATATAATACATATAGAGTTTTAAAGTATCAATTTTCGCCTGGAGAAAGTACAAACTTCCATTAAGCTGACTCATCTAAAGAAAGAAAAGTTTAACTAGAAAAAAGAATTCTCAATTGTCATGCAATACTCCTGTAAATATTTATCCACGTTCACATTAAGGTTAATATTTTCATTTTTCTTAAGATTTCTTTTCTTTTTTTTGGGGGGGGGACAGATGGTATGCTTGGCTGCAAAAAAAAAATACATGGGGCTCCCCTTGAGGTGCACGCGGAGGCTCCAACTGGTCCAGAATGCAGCTGCGCGGGTGATATTGAGAGCAACATGGCGCTCACATGTAACACCTCTCCTACGCGAGCTGCACTGGCTCCCAGTGGCCTTCCGAGTGCACTTCAAGGTGTTGCTTCTTACCTTTAAAGTGCTCCATGGCTTAGGACCTGGGTACCTACGAGACCACCTTCTGCAACCGATAACCTCCCACCAACCAGCACGCTCCCACAGGGTGGGCCTTCTCAGGGTACCGTCACTAAAGCAATGTCGACTGGTGGTTCCCAGAGAAAGAGCCTTTTCTGTGGGGGCACCCGCCCTTTGGAACAGGTTACCCCCAGGGATACGAATGATCCCAGATCTTCGCACTTTCCGTCGTGCACTTAAGATCTTTTTGTTTCACCAAGCTGGGCTGGCATAAATCTCTTCTAATTGTATTCTTAACCGATGAACCAAATTGGCTTAATCATCTTATATTCACATTTTATAAGTATGTTATTTTATCTGTTCACCGCCCTGAGTCCTTCGGGAGGAGGGCAGTATAAAAAATAAATAAATAAATGAATAAATAAATTACAGTATTTCCAAGTGAAAGCCTCTATGTGGAGATTTTGCATAAGAAAGGATAATGATTTTGTGACTAATGGTTTTATGGTTAGAAAGAACAACTTAGAGAAAGAAGGGAATTATGTTGAAATCTTGGAGAGAGAGAGAGAGATCGGTTTAAAATTGTACAAATAACTGCCGAGTAGAAAGATCAGAAGCCATTTCTTTATATATATTTCTGTTTCATGCTTCCTGTTCTTTTATTTTCTTTTTTCTATGTTCTTTCTGGGTTTTTTTTTTTAACGTTTACTATATATTTTTTATTTTCTTTGAATGTATTTCTTCTTATCTATCTATCTACTTCAATAAAAATATTTCTTTAAAGTGCCAAAGTTTTTTGGGGTGGTGGGGAAGACAGAGAAACAATGAAAGGATGGAGAAGTACTGAGGGGAAAAAAAACCAGGAAATGGTGAAATATGTATATGTCAAGGCAGTAACAAGTAATAGTATAATAGGTTTGGAAGGGACCTTAAGAGGTCTTCTAGTCCAACCCCCTGCTCAAGCAAGAGACCTTAGACCAGTGTTTTTTAACTTTGGAAGTTTGAAGATGGGTGGACTTCAACTCCCAGAATCCCCCAGCCAGTGCTGGGGGATTCTGGGAGTTGAAGTCCACCCATCTTCAAGCTACCAAGGTTGAGAAACACTGCCCTAGACCATTCCGGACAATGGTTGTCCAGTTTCTTCTTGAAGATCTCTGGTGATGGACCAGTCACAACTTTTAATAGATTTAAGAGATTAACAGAGTTGGAAGGGACCTTATAAGTCATCTAGTCCAACCCCCCGCCAAACCAGGAGACCCTACACCATTCTGGCAGATGGCAGTCCAGTCTCTTCTTGGAAGTCTCCAGTGATGAAGCTCCCAGAACTTCTGAATAACAGAATAATAATAAAATAACAGAGTTGGAAGGGACCTTGGAGGTAATCTAGTCCAGCCCCCTCCCCCACCCAAGCAGGAGACCCTACACCATTTCTGACAGGTGGCAGTCCAGACTTCTTGAAAGCCTCCAGGAATGAAGCTCCCACAACTTTCAAAGGCAACTTCTGTTCCACTAGTTGATTGTCCTCACTGTCTGGAATTTTCTCCTTATTTCTATGTTGAATCTCTCCTTGGTCAGTTTCCATCCATTATTTCTTGTCTGGCCTTTGGGTGCTTTGGAGAATAGCTTGATCTCCTTCCTCCTCTCTGTGGCAGCCCCTCAAATACTGGAAGATGCTCTCCTGTCTCCCCTGGTCCTTCTCTTCCCTAGACTAGCCGGGCCCAGTTCCTGCAACCGTTCATCGTATATTTTAGCCTCCAGTCCCCTCATCATCCTGGTTGCTCTTCTCTGCACTCTTTCTAGAGTCTCAACCTCTTTTTTATAGGGCCCCCTTTCCTCTTCTCACGTTCAGACCAGGGGTGAAATGCTCCCGGTTCAGACCGGATCGCCTGATCCGGTAGCGATGGCGGTGGTGGTTCGGAGAACCGGTAGCAAAAATCCCTGCAACACCCCCCCCCACTATGCCCAGTTGAGCCGCAGGATCATCAGAGGCTTTTTGTATTTTTTTTACTTTTAAAAGCATTTCTTCTACAACCTCTTCCGCCGAAAAAATGCTTTTAAAAGTAAAAAAAAAGCCTCTGATGATCGCACGGCTCAGCTGGGATCGTCAGAGGCTTTTCAAAGCATTTTTTTCTACAACCTCTTGGCTGAAGAGGTGGTAAAAAAATGCTTTGAAAAGTCTCTCACGAGTTGCCTGATCAGCAGAGAGGCTTTTCAAAGCATTAAAAAAAATGCTTTGAAAAGTTAAAAAAAAAAAGTTGGCCATGCCCACCCAGTCACATTACCCCCACACACACACCAAGCCACACCCACAGAACCGGTAGTAACAAATTTTACATTTCCCCCCTGGTTCAGACCAAACACCCTCCTCTCCCAATCCTGCAAACACTCTGGAAAGAGTGCAGAGAAGAGCAACAAAGATGATTAGGGGGCTGGAGACAAAAATATATGAAGAACGGTTGCAGGAATTGGGTTTGTCTAGTCTAGAGAAAGGAAAGATTAGCGGGTGGCATGGTGGGATATTCCAGTATTTGAGAAGCTGCCACAAAGAAGGGGGGGAGGTTTCAACCTATTCTCCAAAGCACCTGAAGGCAAGACAAGAAGCCAGGTATGGAAATTAATCCAGGACAGAAGCAACCTGGAACTAAGGAGAAAACTTCTTAACAGGGAGGACCATTAACCAGTGGAACAGCTTGCCACCAGAAGTTGTGGGTGCTCCATCGCTGGAGGCTTTTTAAGAAGAGTCTGGACAGCCACTTGTCTGAAATGGTATAGGATCTCCTGCTTGAGCAGGGGGTTGGACTAGAAGACCTCCAAGGTCCCTTCCAACACTGCAATCCTGTAATTTCTTTTCCATAGTTGATATCTTGCCTTGGAAACAAGGTAGGTTTACCCAGTGGAAATGCTAAGCTTTGTATTAACATAACTAAAGGCTGAATGCATACATCTGTATACAAGTGTACTCAGCTAGGTGGCTAAGACGCTGAGCTTGTCGATCAGAAAGGTCGGCAGTTCGAATCCCTAGTGTCCTGCGTGAGCAGGGGGTTGGACTAGATGACCTCCAAGGTACCTCCCAACTCTGTCACTTGTCACTGTAGCTACCTCCAGGTTTTAAAGGGATGCCTCGGTTGTCACGCAGCTCTCTATTTGGAACAAGGTCCTCCGCAGAGGCACAAACCTGTTCTGTCCAAGGAAAGGGAATAGCCCAGTAAATAAAACGACTGTCGGAAGCGAAATATTTTTCTTGACATCCAAATGGGACACTTAGCCAGTACTTACCGTCTCTGCAGGCTGGTTCTGCCTTCTTTTGGCTGCTGAAGCAGATGCAAAAAAAGACAACAACCCCCAAAAAAGGGGGGGGAGAAACGACAAGAAAGTGTCTCTGTGTGTGTGCGTATGTGATTCTGTGGCTCACCGGCACTCACCGCCCTGCCACCCGTTTTGTGGTTGTGGGTTTGTGAAGGTCACTGCAGGCACGCTGCGGAGTGCTTTGTCCTCTTCCTGCTTCCAGCTTCCAAGAATTTTATTTAAAGGTGCCTCTTCCTTTTCCATTCTCTTCCAATCACGCAGACGGCTACCCATCTTTCTCCCACCGACCACTGGCAATCTGGTTGGGTACCAGATGCTGTTCTGGGCAGGACAGGGGCCCCTCGCGGTGGAGAGCCTCCCCCCAGCCATCTGCATAGCTCGGCGGGGAGGAAGACGAAGGGCTCCGAATTTGGAAGTCCCCCTCTTTGCCACTCTTATTTTGGTCGTTTTTGAGTGGGGAAGTGGCAGGGAAGCATGGATCCGGCAGGGTGAGCCTTAACCGAAGCATTAAGGCCTCCAAGGAGCATCATTTCATCACGCCTCTCATTGGCTCAGCGTGGGCTCAAATGAGGTCGGCAGATGACCTGTGGGAACCGTCTCGGGAGACAAGAGGAAAGAAAGGAAACCAGAGAGAAAAGGGGCATGGGAAGCCACTGAAAGAAAACGATTTCGGGCTTGCAAGATTCTGTTCATCTGAGCTCAGTTAGAAGATATTGTCTTCCTTGGCTGGACCAGGGTTTCTCGCCCTTAACAACTTTTAAGATGTCTGGGCTTCCAACTCCCAGAATTCCCCAGCCAGCTATGAAGTCCGCCCAGCTTAAAGTTAGTTGCCAAGTTTGGAAAACACGGATGTAGTCTGTGACTGAGCTGGCAAGGAAGTGCAAATTCATAAGGATTTGGTCCCTCGCTGGGAACACAAGAGGACACGTCTTCTGGTCGACTATGTACCAACAGATGAGACTATCGATAGCTGTGGGGCCCTTGGTGCTCTCTTGAGTTTGGTTGTTTCCTTGCAGGCGTTTCATTCCCCAACTAGGGAACATTATCAGTGCTGGAAGGGAGTTGGGTTTGAGGAGGAGGAGGAGGAAGAAGAGGAGGAGGAGGAAGGAAGGAAGGAAAGAAGGAAGGAAGAGGAAGAGGAGAAGGAAGGAAGAGGAGGAGGAAGGAAGGAAGGAAGAGGAGAAGGAAGGAAGGAAGGAAGAGGAAGAGGAGAAGGAAGGAAGAGGAGGAGGAGGAAGGAAGGAAGGAAGGAAAGAAGGAAGGAAGGGGAAGAGGAGAAGAAAGGAAGAGGAGGAGAAGGAAGGGAGGAAGGAAAGGAATGAAGGAAGAGGAGGAGAAGGAAGGAAGGAAAGAAGGAAGGAAGGAGGGAGGGAGGGAAGGAAAGAAGAAAGGAAGGAAGAGGAGAAGGAAGGAAGGAGGAGGAGGAAGGAAGGAAGGAAGGAAGGAGGGAGGGAGGGAAGGAAAGAAGAAAGGAAGGAAGAGGAGGAGAAGGAAGGAAGGAGGAGGAAGAAGGAAGGAAGGAAGGAAGGAGGAAGGAGGGAGGGAGGGAAGGAAAGAAGAAAGGAAGGAAGAGGAGGAGAAGGAAGGAAGGAAGATGGCTGCGGTGTCCTTAATGTTCTCTAAGCCTGGTGATTCTTTTGCAGGCGTTTCATTACCCAACTAGGGAACACCATCAGTGCTAGAAGAGAGTTGGGTTGGAGGAGGAGGAGGAGGAGGGGGAGGAGGAAGATGGCTGTGGGGTCTTTGATGTTCTCTGATGGTGATTTTCTAGCAGACATTTCATCACCCAACTAGATAACATCATCAGCGCCAGCAGGGAGTGGGGTATGCTCTCACTTTATGTTCTAGAGGCTTGCCTTGTCAGTGTTGGTGGGAGTGACCATGTCCTTGTGGAACAATGCTCCTAATGTTTACAAAACATATAATGGGCAGCAAGTGATTCTTTTCCACTCGACCATAGACAGAAAGTGCCAGGGAGTCCAAGGAAGACGGAGCCCATAATTTCCTTCCTCTACGCTCATCCAACACAGAACTCTTCTGAGGTTGCAGGAATCTTGCAGGAACCTGGGACATGCTGAGCTAGCGCCCAGAAAAAGGGAAACCTAAGTTGGGGTGTTACGGAAGAATCGTGGTGGCTGTTTCTTGAACGAGCAAATCCCACAAGGCAGTCATATCATGAGCATGCCCACAACAACATGGTCTCTAAACTGCGACTGTGTCATGTGTCCCCCGAGGAAGAAACACAAAGTGTCACACAGTGCAGTGGTAGGTGGAAAAGACTGTGAAAGATGGAGCGAAGAGAGCTGATAGATAAGAGACAGCTTAGCCCTCAGCTGTACAACGGGTTGAAAAAGAAATTCTGAAGAAACCCTCCTTAGCTTCCCAAGGATGTCAAACAGACGATGGGAGATTTGTACTTTCATACTTGTAAAATTCTGTTAATGTATAGTAGCTTTAGAGCAGTGGCCCCCGCAACCTTTTGGGTGTCAAGGGACCGGTTCTGTGGAGAGAGGTTTTTCTGTGGACCGGAGAGGGTGTGGTTTCACATGCTGCCTGAATCCTGCAGATGGGGCTTCGCTCAGACATGGGATTCACTTACCTCCCCTACTGGTTCACAAATGTGAGGGCACGCTCACCTTCCACGCATGGTCAGGCTTCCACACTTGCTCACACGCATGCCTTCTGCGCACGCGGACGGCCTCCAAAACATGGCTAAATAGGATGAGCGGGGCCTACCGCAGTTGCCACTACCATCTGAATCCCACCACTGGCTTCTCTTGTTTCTGTGGCCCGGTTTTTGGCATCCTGCAGCCCGGTGCCGGACCATGGACCAGGAGTTGGGGACCTCTGCTTTAGAGAACCGTTAGATAAGAGGCAGCCCAGAGCTGCATAATGGGAGGAGAAAGAGGCTCAGGAGGGACCCTTCCTAGTTTCTCAGACTGTAAAAGAGACGGTGGGAGATTTGTATTTTCAGACTTACAAGATTCAATACAATATTAATGTAGCTTTGGATAAGAGAAGTAGTGGGATTCAAATAATTTAACAACCGGTTTGCCCAGAGTCAGGTTGGCTGTCGTGGCCCATCCCCGTACTCCAACTCCACTGCACATGCGGGATGAGCCTCCGTTGACGGCCAACCTGACCCTGGGCAAACCGGTTGTTAAATCTCCCCGCCCCCCGCTATCAAAGTGGATCATGGGTGCTGTGCTGCAATGGAAAAACGGGAAATGGAGTGGCCGGCATGAGGGAAGGAGGAAAGTGGCCTTTTCCTTCCCTTGTGCCTGCCACTCCGTTGCCCGTTACTCCATTGTAGCACAGCGCCCAGGATCCACTTTGATAATGGGTTGGGTGTAATTTAACAACCAATTCGTCCGAACCGGTGCGAATCAGCTGAATCCCACCACTGGATAAGAGTCTGCACAGCCCTCAGCTGCATAACAGGTGCAGAAAGAGGCTCAGAAGGTAACTTCCTTAGCTTCCTAAGGCTGTAAAACAGACGCTGGGAGATTTGTATTTTCAGACTTGCAAAATTCTGTTAGTGTAACTTTACAATAAAATAAAAGTAGCTTGTCTGGTTGTGTTGTGTCTGGTCTAGCTGGTAAGGCTGACACATATTGTGCTAATGTGTCTTTTAAGTTATCAGTAAAACCACCGCAATTTCCCTCTCTTTCTCCATCCCACACAACCACACACTCACCCACAAGGACAGAAACACCATCGTTCTTTTGTTCAGCATTTGTATATATTATTTCAATATCTATCTACTTCTATTGGTCCGTATCGGACTTGGCACAGAAGAGGTCACATATCCCTCCCAACAAATTGTGCGTTTGGCCACGAGGGGCAACATTGTGCTTAAACCACAACCGGAAGAGGAGAAACAAGTGCAAAAGAAAATCAGAGGGCCGCTGTTTAAGGAAGCATCTTTTTTAGGTCCTAGAGGATTGTCTCTCGGACAGTTGATGCCGAGTCAATACAGCAGGACTGGAAGAAACATCTGGAGAGGCTCAGAGTAGAAACAAACGTCCCATCACACTTCTGCAGCCCCAAATGCGAAACTCTTCACCCACACATTGGCAGCGGGTGCGAACCGTACAACCAGAGGTGGGCGCCACGTAATTTAACAACTGGTTCGCCCCAGCACCGAAAATGTCAGCGTGCGTGCATGCGTGCAAACCTTCTGCCTTGTGCTTTGCTCGCATGTGCACTTGCATGCATGCATGCGGCTTAAAAATGCAGCTAAATGGGATGGCACAGCACTGGGGCGGAGGGGCGGGGGCAGGTCCACCCCCCAGGTCACAACTACCGGTTCACACGAACCGATACGAACCGGCTGAATCCCACGCCTGCATACAACGGAAAAGGGAGATTGTGTAGTTGAAAATACACACCGTACATTCCCTTCCCAGAGCTTATTTCTAGATCCTGATGCCACGGAAGGCTCACCAACCTTGGCAGTTGGCGGTTTTAAATATAATTCTAGATTTTTAATCTAGATTTTATCCTCCACGACCACGCAGCGCCAGCCCCGTAATCCACACAGAATTGAAAAGGGTAAGGTTTTTAAGGAAGTAAGATTTGCTGGTAACTTTCTCCCTCCAGATGTGGCATGGGAAAGCTGGACCCTGTCTTAAAATTTGCCAGCCATTTTTCGGAAGGGTGTACAGGTAGTCCTTCGACGTATGACAGTTTGTTTAGTGACCGTTCAAAGTTACGACAGCACTGAAAAATTTTAACTTATGACCGTTTTTCAGAGTTACAATCTTTGCAGCATCCCCCTGGTCATGGGATCAAAATTCAGACGCTTGGCCACTGCTTCATATTTATGACAGGGTCACGTGATCCCCTTTTGCGACCTTTTGACAAGCAAAGTCCATGGGGAAGCCAGGTTCACTTAACAACCGGGTTACTCACTTATCAACTGTAGTGATTCACTTAACAACAGTGGCAAGAAAAGTCAGAGCAAAAGCCGACATTAACAAATGTCTCACTTAACAACAGAACTTTGGGGCTCAATTGTGGTCGTATGTCGAGGACTACCTGTATGGGCAAAAATGGAATACAGGTAGTCCTCGCTTTACGAACATTCATTTAACAACTGTTTGAAGTTACAACGGTCCTGGTAAAAGTGTCATGTGACCAATCCTTGCATTTATGATCGTCACAAAATCCCTGTGATTACATGATCAGAATTTGGGCATTTGACAACCAGGATGTATTTACGATCATTGCAGTGTCCCAGAGTCTTGGGAACATCATTTGCCGCCTTCCCAGGGGTCTCCTGACATGCAAATATCATGGGGGAAGCTGGACTTGCTTAACAACGGTGGCAAAATCATAAATGTGGGTGTGACTCACTTAATGACCGCATCACCCAGGTATGGAAGTTTTAATCCCGATTGTGGTCATAAATCGAAGACTACCTGTCTGGGGCAAGAAGACAGATTCGCTTAACAGCTGCGTGATTTGTTTTAACGGTGGGGGCAAAAAGGTTGTAAAATTAGGTGCAACTCACTTGGCGGTGATGGTCCCCATTGTGGTCGTAAGTCGAGGAGCACCCGTCCCAAGTACTGTGCTGCAGAAGCAGAAACTGCAGCCCCAAAGTGCAACATTTGTGCAGGAATACGAAAGAACGGATGATTGTTAAGAGCAAGGGGGGGTGTATTCTATTAAGTCAAGAGTGGGCCAACCGATAATTTATGGGATGGGGGGGATGGGGGGTCTAAGAAGGCAACTGGATGGGGTGGGGGGTGGGAAGCCAATTGCACCAAATTTTGTTGCTTAAAAATGGCAACTCCAACAAGGAGTAGTCCCTCCTGCCAGTCACCGGGACGTAGCCCCAAAACGGCTCCATCCATTCCCAAATCCGAGTGTCGGGAAGGGCTCATTTGTGTCAAATTTTGGCAAAGAAGGGTTAAAATCTTGGGTAACAAGCACCTTCCCCCATCAATACAGCTGTTTCTGCACCCCAGGAGTGGGCTCAGATGGAAGAACAGAAGATGGGCAGGGGTCTTCTAAGGGTGGTTCCAAGTTCTATTGCTTGGAACAGGGGTCTCCAACCTTGGCAACTTGAAGACTTGTGGACTTCAACTCCCAGAGTTCTGGAAGTTGAAGTCCACAAGTCTTCAAGTTGCCAAGGTTGGAGACCCCTGCCTTGGAAGGAACAGGCCACGTCCAAGCTCACCACGTTGCCAGGGGGCACCAAAGACAACCAAGCCTCTTTTCAGGCATGGATGAGTAGGAGGAACCTCCCTTTGGGCCATTTCTAAATTTTAGAAATGCACAACGCTTTCAAACATGGCCCCTTCAAACATGTCTTTCAAACATGGCCCCTTTAAGACGGCGGTGGACTACATCTCCCAGAATCCCACAGCCAGCAGATTTCCAACCAGCCTCCTTATGCCGGCTGTGGAATTCTGGGAGCTGAAGTCCACCCATCTTAAAGGGACCATGTTTGAAAAAAAAAAACACAATGAATTCTCTTGATGGCATAAGGGATGAGATTCAAATACAGTTCTGGGAAGCAACCGAAGATCCTCCGTTTAACAGGAAGGTCGAAGATTAGAAGTTGCCAAGTTGGAAATTCCAAGGTCCCCCTTTGTAGGGACAACAGCCAAGAGAGATGAAAACAATCCAGGAAGTCCCGCTCGACAGTCCAGGTGGAAAATAAATAAATAAATAAAAAAGATAAGATCCATCCCATTGGATCTGTTCTCAACCACAGTTCTGGGAAATGAATTCAGGAATCGACCTACTTCCTGTCGATATAAATAAAGAGAATACTTCTGTCTGGTTTTTTTTAACCCAGAGAAATGAGCGTCCATTCCTGGAAACAGCATTTTTGTAAATATTTTGACCTCATCATCGAAATCTCTAGGTTCTTGCTGCTGCCGTGACAATTTAGACTCAAAAGTTCAGTTCAAAAGCATCCGGAAGACCAAAAATAATCCATGCTGGGTGAGAAATAACCCCCGAAAGTCTCAAATTCTTCTCCAGAAACATTTTAAGATCGCCACTCAAAACTTTTTTTATCTCTCTATTTATCTCTCTAGCTTGAACCGCCAACCCTGAGTGGTGACTCTCGTCAGATAAAGCCTTCGGAAGAAACGGAACCCTAGCAAAATCCAGGAGGGGAAAAAAAAAAATAGCAGTGGCCCAGGACAAGAATATTTGGTTCAAGTACTCCTTCAGTGAGAACAAATCCCAACGAACCAGTGAAAAAGGCCAGTAAATCTATCGCAGTCTCCCTCGAGCTCAGGAACTTTCAGATGGCTGGACTTCAACTCCCAGAATTCCCCAGGGAGTTGAAATCCACCTGTAGGAGAAGGAGTGGCAGATCCCAGGGTCAGAATGAAAAGAGGCAGCAGCATAGAATCCCTGTGTAGCCACAAGCGAACTAAGTCCAACCTCCCCTTGAGGGCCATTGGCCCTTATCTAACTCTAACCGAGGGCTGAGAAGATTCCTGCGCATTGGCTTTTAGCAATAAAGCAGCTTCATTGAAACTTCATGGGTGGATTTGGTCTTTCTTGCCTGCCACCAGCTTCGTCTCGTTGAGGTTGAGGAACACTGGTCTACGGATCTAAAAAGGCAGAAGGCCCCAGATTTGACTTGGAGGACGAGAAGGGGAGAGAGGGTCGGTTTCCTGGGTGCTGCTATGCGTAGAACATCTTTACCTCTGTCACTTTCTGGTTCTCGAATTTTCTCAGATCTCTTTCGGAAAGCAGACCTGATGGAGAAGCAGAAGAATTTTGCCTTCTGAGGCCGACGGAGCCTTGAAGAAGTCCTAGATCCACAAGGCATGAAGCTATCTTGTGCCACTCATCTCAAAAGTCCATCCAGTGGTCCAAGAGGTCCCAATCTCCTTGGACCTCCACTTGAGGAATAACCTCCTCTAGAGTTGTGTATTTTCTGCATCCACCGTAGCCAACTCAGCATCCAAACCACAGAAAAGAGTGTCTAGATATCAACCATCTCCTATTTTCATGGCCAACATTGCGTCGGAGATCTTCCTGTCTCAAAATCTGACTAAAGATAGGTGAGTTTCCTCAAGAGTTGTAGCCACTGGACAGCAACTGGTGAATTGTCCGGCCCTTTCAAGATCCTTCACCACTTCATGGTGGTTTTTCTGGTTCCAACTCTAGGCGTAGAAAGTCAAGTTAGATTAGGATTCTAAATATGGCCACTACAAGGTAGGATACCAAACAAGAGAAGAGAGGAAGACAATGGAAACCCAACTATGAAGACAGGATGGGCCCTCTAAACTTTGACCAGGCCAAAGACAAAGATTAGGGTTGGTTCTGGTTTCCGGGGACTGCCCGTTTTAGGTGGCCACCGAGTCCCCTTGTGCAATCAGGCTCTGGAAACTGACCAGCTGTTTCATCTGCTCTGTCTGCATGGAGTGTCTTCGGATGAGACGCTTGGTCATTGGGGACGAGGGAGCTATGGGGATCAGCCCCTTGTGGGCCGGAGAAGGGGGCTTCCCATTGGGTCGAATGTCGCGGAGGGGAGGGTGAGGGTTGAAGTGCAGAGGAGGCAGGAAGCCCGGGCGGGTGTGAGCAATGTGATCGAGGAGCAACGTCCCGGAGCCCCTTCGTTCCAGGAGCCCCGGGGCTCTACGCCGGATGGTAATCGGAGAGATGGCGTTGGGGATGCTCTCTAGACTCTCCCGGGAGGAGCTGTTGGGCAAGGTCAACGGGGAGGCGTTGTACCTCCTCCTCTCCAGCGAAACCCGGCCAGACTCTGGAGAACCTGGAATGGATTCGGGACAGAGGGAATCGGACTCAAAATGTTCCGAGCAGGTCAACTTGTGATGCGCCACACTTCTGGAACTAGGAGCTTGGAGACCCTCTTGAGCTTCAGGGGCTGTGTTGTGTCGAGAGAGGGTCTGGTGGAGGTGGCCCAACTGGACCTTCTCCGCCCAGGAGGAATCTAAGCCCGAGATCTCGTCTTGTTGGGTCCCCATCTTGAAGCAGGAAGACTCCTGGCCTTCCACGCTGTGTCGCCGAGACAGCGGAGGCCTTTTAGTGATACTCAACCCGTTCATCTCAATCCTTACTCGATCTTCTGGGCTCCTGGCTTTCTCCTGATAGGAGGCGGCCAAGACCGAGGGAGCGACCAAACCCCACGGCTCAGAATTCAGTCTCTTCAGCTGCTTGGGATGGCTTTTGGGGGGCAGCCCCGAGGGTCCCTTCTCCTCCATCTCCTTCCCCTTGGCGTGGGGCGAGCAGCTGAGCCTGGTGGCCAGGCTGAAGTTGAAAACATCCCGTTCCTCTTCCTTCTCGCTGTTCCCGGGAGACTGGGACGTGAGGACCTCAATGTCCGACGGAGACATGCACAGGGCGGGCGGCTGCTTGTCCTCCACACCAGGAGAAGGCGGGGAGTTGAGGTACTGCTTGGTCTTCTTGGTCCCCGAAGGGGAGGTGTCGGTGGTGATGATGATGACCTCCTTGCCCTTGGCTTTGCAGGCGTCCAGGAGCACTTGCAAGGTTGCCCGGTCCCCTTTGTTGATGGCGTACACCAAGGCTGAGGCGCCCGAATAATCTTTGGCACTGGGGTCGGCCCCGTGGTTGAGGAGGACGGTGGCCACCTCGGCCCCAGCGCCTTCCGCGCACGCGTGCATCAAGGCGGACTTGCCCGTCTTGTCAGGAATGTTGGGGTCGGCTCCGTTCTCCAGCAGGTACCTCACCATGCGGGGTTTGTTCTGGGGGTCCTCGTAGGGGGCCACGCAGGCGGCAATGAGCGGGGTCTCGCCCTGGGCGTTGCCCTCGTTGATGTAAGCCCCGCCTTCCAGCAAGAGGCGGGTCAGCCGGAATTTCCCTTGCCAGACGGCCTTCAGCAGGGCGCTGCCTTCGGTGTGCACCATGGTGAGGGGAGTGGCGGTGGCCGCCCGGCCGGGGGGAGGGAGGCCCTCAGGAGGCGGAGGCGGCAAAGGCTGGTTTTGAGACCTGCAAAAGAGGAAGAGAGGAAGACTATGAGGTGATGGAACACAGATTTTCTAGGGATGTGCAGAGATGCCCTCATCACTCCCGGAAGGAAACAGTTTTCTGGCAACTACAGGGGGAGGTGGGTTGGATTGGATGACCTCTGGAGGTCTTTTTGGAAGAATCAAAAAGCTTAAGTCTGATTCATTTTAAGGCAACCTTAGTCATCCTTTAAGGAAATCGTAATTTTTAATTAGGGGGGAAGGGAAAAAAAGCAGCCTTAACAAGATACGATTGGAATTTAGATGATGGATTGTGATCTGTGAATTTACAGATTAACAGAGTTGGAAGGGAGCTTGTAGGTCATCTAGTCTAACCCTCCACCCAAGCAGGAGATCCTACACTATTTTTGACAACAGAACCAAGCACTCAGGAATTGGACCGGTACAGGCAGTCCTTGACCTACGGCCACAATGGAGCCCAAAATCTCCATTGCTAAGCGAGACAGTGGTTAAGTGATTTTTGCCTCGTTTTACGACCTTTCTTGCGCCAGTTGTTATGTGAATCACTGCAGTTGTTAAGTAAGTAGCACAGTTGTTAAGTGAGCCGGGCTTCCCCCATTGACTTTGCTTGTCAGAAGGGGATCACGTGACCCCAAGGACATTGCAACCGTCATAAATACGAATCAGTTGCCGAGTGTCTGAATTTTGATCACGTGACCACTGGGATGTTGCAACGGCCATAAGGGTGAAAAACGGTCGTAAATCGCTTTTTTCAGTGCTGTCATAACTTTGGTCACTAAATGAATGGTTGTAAGTTTAGCCCCTTTCCTAAAAAAAAAAATAAAAGTGCCTTTTAAGGAAAAAAACATATGGACATTAATTACTGCTTTCTCATATATTATTACGTAAGTGTAGATATTAAATATAGGTAGTCCTCGACTTACGACCACAACAGAGCCCAACATTTCTGTTGTTCAGTGAAACATTCATTAAGCGAGTTTTGCCCCGTTTTACGACCTTTCCTGCTGCTGTTGTTAAGTGAATCATTGCCGTGGATAAGTTAGTGACACGGTTGTTAAGTGAATTCTGGTTTCCCCATTGAGTTTGCTTGTCCGAAGGTCGCAAAAGGGGAATCACATAACCCCGGGACATTGTAACCGTCATAAATATGAGTCAGTTGCCAAGAGTCTGAATTTTGATCATGTCACCATGGAGACGCCGGAACGGTCGTAAGTGTGAAAAACGGTCGTAAGTCGCTTTTTTCTGTGCCGTTGTAACTTTGAACGGTCCCTAAAAGAACCGTTGTAAGTCTGAGGACTACCTGTATACAGGTAGTCTTCCGTTTGCAACAACTGAAGTTAGTGATTGTTCGATTGTTACAATGGCATGGAAAAAAGACATTTATAGCTAGTTCTCACACTCGCAACATCCCCATGTTACTTAATCATGATTCGGGCACTTAGCAACCAATGTTTATTTACAACAAGCTGGGATCCCCTGACCACCATTTGCGACCTTCCCAGCCGGCTTCCAACAAGCAAAGGCAATCGGGGCAAGCCGGATTTGCTTAATGACCGCATGATTCATTTAACAACTGCAGTGGTTTACTGAACGACGACACCAAAAAAGTCGTAAAATCGGGCGCGACTCCCTTAACAGAAACTCTGGCCCCAATTGTAGTTGTAAATCGAGGACTACCTGCATTGTATGTCACATGAGAAGAAACATCATTGTTGGATTAAGAATAAATATTAAGAACCATGGACCATAAGAAATCACCAGATAAGGAAGGTGAGAAAGGGGGAAAGAGGGGAGGAGTGGGGGAGAGGAAAGGGAAGTAGGGGAGGAGAGGAGAGGAGGAGGAAGAAAATAAAAGAGGAGGGAGGGAGGGGAAAGAAAGAAGAAGGAGAAGGTTTATTGTGAAAAGACTGGGAAAAGGGAGATAGAAGAGCAGCCCCAAATGTGATTAAAATGTCTTATTTTTATCCTTTCGTTAGAAAAAATATGTATGTATATATATATATATATATATATATATATATATATATATGTATGTATGTATGTATGTATGTATGTATGTATGTATGTATGTAGGTCTTTGGTTATTCGGGTTTTCTCCAGCGTAAAATTGGAGGTGTCTTGGCAACGTTTCGACGGAGTCTCATTCGTCATCTTCAGGCTGGTGTTCTCGGCTTCGTGCTTCTAGGAGCAATGTGTGTGATCGCAGCTGTTTCTTCCTTTTAACTGCCAGTGGGAGTGTGAACTGATTGGGTGAGAGCTTGGCTGTGTTCTGATTGGGTGGAGGTGTGTTCTGATTGGTTGGGGGTTTATTTATAATGATGCGGAAAACAGAGATTTTAATTATTTGCATATGCACACCCGCGAAAACTTAAGAAGACATACATATATATATATATGTGTGTGTGTGTGTGTGTGTATAGTTAATATATATATGATATATGATATATATGATCAATTATGGATAAGAGGATGTACATTTACAATTTGTAAGAAATTGATATAGGAAATAAAAATAAAAAACTTTTTTCAAAAAAAAATAAATAAATCACCAGATAAGAATCTATAAGAGTGTATCTTGATTTAAGTATCTCATCAATTAAAAATATTGTTTTTCTGCCTGGATTAATCAAAATCTTAGCTACAATAATAATCCATTCTCCTTAATTCCAGTGTTGCAATATTTTCAGGATCAGACTCAATAAAGATAATAGGAGTTAGAGCTTTAAATATATTTCTTTTTAATTATGATAGGCATTCTATATTCACTGAATATTCAAGGTAGAAGCGACGAGAATGGTGAGGGTGGCTCCTTATATATACAAGGGGTGGAGCTAGGAATGGGAGTGGTAAGTTATGAATACATTAAAGTCCAAAGAATAAGTTAACCTCTGATGTTCCATATATACATTATTTACACATTGGAGAATAAGGCATTTACATCTGACAAATCCCCCTCTAAATGCCGGTTCGTTACACAACACCAATTACATTCTGATTCAGGACAATATAATACATATAATTTAGAAGTTAAATATTTGTGTTGTTTAGAAGGTAAGGGTTTTGTTAATATGTCAGCTAATTGTTCAGAAGTATCGCAATGTATTGCTTTAATGAATCCGTCTTGAGACAGTTGTCTCACATGCTTAAACTTTATATCAATATGCCTGGACCTTTGTCCAATTGCATCGGATCTGGATATTTCAATGGCCGCTTTATTGTCTTCATGCATAATAAATGGTAAGGTGGGTTTCTTCCAAACATCAGTGATCAGATCATTGAACCATACAAGGTTATTTGCAGCCTTGGACAAACAAACATATTCCGCTTCTGTAGTAGAAGTGGCTACTAGTTCTTGTTTACCAGTATACCAGTAAACTGGACAATCATTCAATAGAAAAACATAACCAGAAGTACTCTTTCTGCATGATGTATCACCAGCCCAATCTGCATCAGCATAACAAGTAATTTTTGGTTCTCTGTCATTATTGGGTTCCAACATTAAACAAAAATCTAATGTACCCTTCAGATATCTTAGAATTCTTTTGACAGCTTCCCAATGATACAAGGTTGGTTTACTAACATATCTTGACAATAGATTGAGAGGTAAAGCAATATCTGGCCTAGTCCAATTAGATATATAAAGGAGTGAACCTATAACTGATCTGTAAAATGTGTTGTCTTTAAACTCAGGGGAAGATTCATCAGTGTTTCTAAGAAAATCAGTTTGCATAGGGGTGTCACAGGTTTTAGCATTATTTAAGTTACATTTGTTTAGGAGTTCGATGATTTTATCTTTCTGTGTAAGTTTGAATCCCCTTTTAGTTTTGTTAATTTGCACACCAAGGTATTTATTCACTTTACCCAGAGATTTCAGTGAGAAGTGTTCATTTAACTTATTTACAAAGATTTCCCTGCTCTCTTTATGCTTTCCAATGTATAAAATATCGTCCACGTAAATTAATACAAATTCAATATGATCATTACTCTTTTTTACAAAGAAACAGTTATCAGCAGTGGTGGCGTTGAAATCCATGGTCTTAAGTACTTTTACCAAGCAATCGTACCATCTTTTGCCGGATTGCTTTAATCCGTACAGACTCTTATTTAATAACCAAATTTCGTTCTTATTAGTGTATTGACTGTGTGGTGCTCTTACATATATTTCCTTATCTAATTTTGCATGTAAGTATGCGGTCTGTATGTCATATTGGAATACGTCCAGATTGAGTGCAGATGCTACTACAAGGGCTGTTTTGACACTCTCTGTTCTCACTGTGGGTGAATATGTATCAGTATAGTCTTCTGGATATTTTTGTGCATAGCCTTGTGCAACTAGTCTAGCCTTGTATAAGGTATTGCCTCCTTCTAAGTTCTTAATTTTATAAATCCACCTGGTACCTATAATTGTTTTATCCTTAGGTGCGATCGCAGGTGTGAATACATTTAATCCTTGTAAACTTTCCATCTCTTTTTCCATAGCTAGTTCCCATTTTTCTCTTTCTTCATGTGGAAGTTTCAATACTTCTTCATATGTATTAGGTGTTATTTGTTCTCCATTCATATGCATTATGTAATCTTTGTATTTATTTGGTATTTGGTTTCTATTGTTTCTAATAGTTCTTTCAGGCTTGCTATGGTTATCATGCAAATATCTAGCTTCCTTTTTTGTTAATGTGTCTGTCTTTATTTTATGCTGACTATTAGTCCAAGTTTTGGTTTTGTTCTTACTTTTGTTAATATTTTGATTTTCTGTTGTTCCTTCCTCGCAAGATATCGTATCTTTACATTTATTAGGAAATATTTCATTAAGGTGCAATTTTGACCAATTGGCCTGTTCATGGAACACAGCTGTTCTGGATACTATAAATTTGTTATTACTATCAATAAATCTGTACCCTTTGGTTCCAGTTTCGTATCCCATGAATCTTAATCTCCTGGATACGTTTTCTCCCTTTCTCCTCAATTGTTTAGGTATGTGTACGTCTGCAGTGACTCCAAATA